CATCTAACTTGATAAAACTATCAGTTAATGAAACAAAATGGAGTAGTTTGCTAGCCAGGATTCGTGCTCTTATTCTTTATATTTCGGTTTGAATATTTGATTTCGGGCCCGAAACGTTACCGGGACTTTCGAGAAACGGGCCCCAGGTCCTTACTCTGAGTTATATTGTCACGCAGTTTGCTTGTGAAAGCTTTGGAATTAGCTGCTTTCGTGGTTCGTGTATGAGAGAGTACGACTTAATCTTACTATAACCAAACGGTTTTAAAAATAGAAGGCAGTTTGCACGTGAAGATGTTGGTCTCTGCCCCATTTACGGTTCGACCGTGAAAGAATACAACTTCTTTACGAGGTCATCTTGCTCAATAAGATTTTAAGAAATCACCTCCTTCCAAAAATATGCAATGAAGTTATGTATCATTCAAAGTTAACCTTAATTATCTTATGCACGAGATCATGGAATTTTGCCTGACATCTTTGGCGCTCGACAACTGAGAGCAAAAATATTGTCAAACTCTTGGCAATAACCAAACCATTCACACCTTGTGCTACGAGGACGATTATTTTAGAAAGGGAAAATTTAAATTATCTAATAGTTTGTTTCACTAAGTGTACCTTGTCCAAAAAGTTTGTTTTCTATTGCAAATTTGTTTGCCGTGCGTTATCTGTGGGACGTATGAAACGAAGATAAAAGCTGTTTTGTGACACAGCGTGCGGCAGATATTCGCGTCGCTTGGCTTGTTTACTTTCGAACGTATTGCGTGCAAATTAAATTGCAACTTTGAATCAAAACAAACGAACTCGATTACTCTATTTGGGCGACGCCCAAATAATAACATATTTCCTTTGCTCTCCGTGCTTGGAATAATCAAATAATATGTGGATTTAGCTAGGACTAAGAGGAAGCTCTCGTTAATATTAATTGTTTACGCAAACAAAATATAAAATCGTGTTATTCTAAGTGGCGACCGGGTAACAAAAGCGGCAAAAAAATCAATAGGTATAATTAGCAAAAAAAGAAAGAAAGAAACAAAAACAAAACCAATTTTGCCCATGAGGCACACTTTTTTGCAAATTTCTTTGCCGTTGTTTTGCAAGACTACAACGAGAAACTTCCAAAAGCTTCTTAGTTACAATTTTTGTGGAGGAAATCTCGTATGTGTTCCTGTTTACTTAATTTTTCACGACGGCTCGCTTTCACCTTGGTGGCCGCTGTAAAATTTACGTGTTTTTCTTTCAAAGAATCTCACCCTAGCTCTTTCTCTGTTATCCTCCTCAATGTAGACTTAAAAATTAAGTCGAAAGAAAGACTCAGCTTTGTTGCTGTTTTTTTCTTTCTTTCCAAAAGTCCAGGTGGCCGTGCGATTTCCCGCCGAAACGCGCAGGTGCTTGAAATGCGAAATTCAACCTGGCTTACATGAATAGGTGGACGCACGTACGAACGATTTTTTCTTAAATGCACAGATGACCAAATTTTCTTACTTATGGTGCTCCGCTTCTAGATAGCGCTTCGAAAATTCTCTCTCCCGCCATAAAATGAAATAGATAAGTTACTTCGCAGCCCTAAAAAAAATTAAAATTAAAAGAACAACAGTCTAAATACTGAATATAAGGACGGTGTAATTTTGGCTATCGATTATAATTACGTTTTTTAAGTAGTTTCATTTTCAAAAGCATACATTGAAAACAATTTGTTGTCTAAAGGCAACGGCTCTCCCAGATTGTCGCCAATTTTGGACCAAATGATCCAATGACGTATCGTATTGTATCCATATTCAGTTAGTCAGCTTCCATTTCCGAGTATGACGCTAGTCGTACGGCGTTTGGCTCTCATGGGGAACGATGCGGCCACGCCTCTATGGGGTGTCTTTTCCCAATTTATGACGCGTCTTCGCGACCTAATTAAGTTGCTGCGTTTACCTTGTTAATGACATGATCGAGCCAAATCACAAGAAAAACTTTACATTGAAATAATAGTTCCAGTACTATAATTAAGATACGAATAAAAAAGTTGCCTAGAATTGGGCCAATTATGAACCCTTCATTAATCCTTTGCAAAATGTTTGTTTTTTTCTTTTTTCACAGGTACGGACCATGAAGAGCATTTTCGTTTGGGCCTTCCTGATAACTGTTCTTTTTCAGCCTGGTGTGTCAGATATATACTTGCATTGTCCACCAGGATCCAACAATCGACTGAGCGGTGAAGGTGCAGCAGTCACGAATGCCAACAGACTGTTTGATTCACAGGTAGNAAATTTGTTTGCCGTGCGTTATCTGTGGGACGTATGAAACGAAGATAAATGCTGTTTTGTGACACAGCGTGAGGCAGATATTCGCGTCGCTTGGCTTGTTTACTTTCGAACGTATTGCGTGCAAATTAAATTGCAACTTTGAATCAAAACAAACGACCTCGATTACTCCATTTGGGCGACGCCCAAATAATAACATATTTCCTTTGCTCTCCGTGCTTGGAATAATCAAATAATATGCGGATTTATCCAGGACTAAGAGGAAGCTCTCGTTAATATTAATAGTTTACGCAAACAAAATATAAAATCGTGTAATTCTAAGCGGCGACCGGGCAACAAAAGCGGCAAAAAAAAATCAATAGGTATAATTAGCAAAAAAAAGAAACAGACAAACAAAAACAAAACCAATTTTGCCCATGCGGCACACTTTTTTGCAAATTTCTTTGCCGTTGTTTTGCAAGACTACAAGGAGAAACTTCCAAAAGCTTCCTAGTGACAATTTTTATAGAGGAAATGTCGTATGTGTTCCTGTTTACTTAATTTTTCACGACGGCTCGCTTTCACCTTGGTGGCCGCTGTAAAATTTAAGTGTTTTTCTTTCAAAGAATCTCACCCTAGCTCTTTCTCTGTTATCCACCTCAATGTAGACTTAAAAGTTTAGTCGAAAGAAAGACTCAGCTTTGTTGCTGTTTTTTTCTTTCTTTCTAAAAGTCCAGGTGGCCGTGCGATTTCCCGCCGAAACGCGCAGGTGCTTGAAATGCGAAATTTCAACCTGGCTTACATGAATAAGTGGACGTACGTACGATGCTATCGATTATAATTACGTTTTTTAAGTAGTGGGGAACGATGCTGCCACGCCTCTATGGGGTGTCTTTTTTCACAATTTATGACGCGTCTTCGCGACCTAATTAAGTTGCTGCGTTTACCTTGTTAATGACATGATCGAGCCAAATCACAAGAAAAACTTTACAATGAAATAATAGTTTCAGTACTATAATTAAGATACGAATCAAAAAAATGCCTAGAATTGGGCCAATTATAAACCCTTCATTAATCCTTTGCAAAATGTTTGTTTTTTTCTTTTTTCACAGGTACCGACCATGAAGAGCATTTTCGTTTGGGCCTGCCTGATAACTGTTCTTTTTCAGCCTGGTGTGTCAGATATATACTTGCATTGTCCACCAGGATCCAACAATCGACTGAGCGGTGAAGGTGCAGCAGTCACGAATGCCAACAGACTGTTTGATTCACAGGTAGATGGAACTGCAGTGTTTATCCTCATGATGCTGCGAATAACTTGAAGCGATTTCTTATTACTCACCCTCCGCGCTGAGGGTCACTCATCCTCTAACAGGCAATTTATGTACGGTTTCGCTGGTTTGCCTCTCCCTTTGATGCCATGTAATAGCAGTACCTAAACAGGATGTGGTTGACACATTCTCACCATTCGCCCCTAGAAATACCTCTAAAATTCCTTATATTCGGCTACAAAAAAATCCCTTCAATGCCGTCCCGACATCATGATTACAAAATTACGCAGTCACACCCTATTTATTGTTTCTCAGAGAAATTTATAAGTTTGGCATGCCTATAATATTTAGAATCACGTTTACGGCAAACAGCAAACCTTAATTGTACCACGTGACCAAGTTTTTCCTTAACTTGTGCTTTACTGTTCATTACTTCTACCCCTACATTAGTAGCTTCACGTTGCGTTTGTCTATAACAATTGTTTTTAACTGGCTTTAGCTGCACGTTTTCTATTTTGAGAAATTCTCAATGAACTTGAATCTGACGTTTGCCGTTTGCCGTAAACGTCACTCTAAATCTCTCAAATAGCAAGGGCTAAACTATGGCGGGACATGTTTACGGAGCGAATTACAATAGTGAAAGAAGAAAAAGAAAAATTATAGAGCCGGGAAATTTTTAGAGAAAACAAAACCAATGTAATGACTTTACCTAAACATTGAACAATGATGTAAATCTTATCATTTTCATTTCCTTTACGTAGAATAATGGCAACGCTGGATACAACGTTGGGGACAAGCTGGGTAGTAAGAAAACCCCCCTTCCAGAGACTGATCAACTACCACAGGTAAATTCATTTCTATCACTGGGAAGAAAATCGCGTGTATATTAATAAAGCTACTCAACACTTTGCATACACATAGATACAAATGCGATCATAACGTATCATAAATGTGATTCTTCTTTCATTTTGGGTTCGAATTTAAATTAAGGGCTTATTTGATTGCTGATCGTTTACGTGTTAAGTGTTTTTTAGTGTGGTTATTACTTATTCTTTAGATTAAATGGGCTTAAAAGAAATTTTTTTCCAACACTACCGCAGGAAAGCATCTTTTTCTTAGTTTTTATTTGACTGGTCATACTTAAGGTGTAAAGTGCAATTTTAAAGTGCGAGAACTCCTTATGAACTTTACCACTTGTTCTTTCGTTCCAAATCGAATTGAAATTTGGAGTACCCTGAGAAAAACGTCAGCCTTTCCTTTTTCATTTTGCTAGCAGCGAGGAACGAGGGGAAACGGCTGCATTCGTGGGCTAGGCACCGAGACATACAGCACGTTGCCGTACCAATTTTTAACTTCACGTGTGAAATTAAAACTTTTAATTAATTTAAATGATTTAACGCTGAAATTTCACGCCAAAATTAAGGATGTATTTGTCACCCATACATACATTTTTTGTCAAAATGAAATTCAAAGTTTTGCCTTTTTACTTAAATTTATGACCGAGTCATACGACTTTAGCTTTTCTTTGAACATGTGAATAATGTCTGGGTGGCCCTTCATTGTTTCAATTAACAGGAGTTTTACATGAGTGGGTTTAATGACAAAGCTAAAACTGAAGTTGAAATCATGTGGACAAACCAACACGGGACCGGAAAAAAGGCAGATCACTTTGTAGAGTCACAAGTGATTCTACAGTATATGTGTCAAGAATTTCCTGATGGAGATGTGCCTTTAGCGAATATCAACACACAGTTTGAGTACCACACTATTCGTAATGGGGGAACTTCTAGCACGCAAACATTTAGAGCCAACCAAAAAGAAAGTTCTGATGTTAAGCTGACCCTTGGACTTCACGAACCGTACAATTATTACCAGTCGTATCTCCGCCGCGAGCGAAACAAAGGTAGGACGTTCTATATACGTCTGGAGGGTACTCAACAAAGCCTTACCCCTTACCCTTTTACCTGTATATACGCTTTTGATAGAAAAGTAGCCTGTTCCAGGCTCTCAGATAGTGGGGGAAGACGCGAAAGAAAAAGGCGCGCGAAAAGTTGGCGGGGCGGGAAAAAGGAAAAGGCCGCCCCTTCTCTCCCCAGTTTCCTCCCGTTTTATTTTCGTGTTTGCGCTTTCTCAATGCAGCGGACCCGACTATCTCGGAGCCTGGAACAGGCTAACAGAAAAGGTCCTCCTTATCGTCTATTGGAAAATGGTAGCCCTTTCCCATACCTAGCAGGGCTTTCAATAAGCACCGACAACCGACGAAACGCGTCGGCTACTTTACTCAGAGCAGTCGGATACTTTTCTACCCGAAAAGAAGCAATTAGTTTTAAAAATATCGTGAACAAAAATAAATCAGTAAATCTGAATTAAAACGTAAGTTAATTATGATATGCTTTCAAGGTCCACTGATATGTTATGCTTTAGTTATACCAGAAGCGCTTCTGGTTACACAAACGCTGTATTTCAGTCAATTTTTCCCACGTTTCTTTGTGGTCTACGCAGAATTTGTTTATGAACAAATGTACTTAATTTTGAATAGTGACATTAGCCATTGCTTGTAAAAATTGATTCTGTGGCTTTGAAACGTGAATGAAAGCTATATTTTCTTGAATGAGAAACACAGTGTTTTGTTCTCAATTTAGTTCCCGTAACACTGGAAATCACTTTTCAGCGCTCTGAAACTTTCCAAACATTTTCTGGGGAGCACGTCCCCAGACGCCCTCAGAAGAAGGGGACTACGGCCCCCTCGTTGATACAGTCGGTTACTCTTACTTCGCGTTGAGGACGACAGTGGAGAATCCCCAGCCTCGTGCCGTGGGAAATCCTCGAAACGTTTATTTCCCATCGCTACCACTTCTACTTCTTGTCATGCTTCAGCCAATTTTACCGCGACTAGCCAGCCTATAGGTGTATCTCCAATTCGCAGTCATCCTTACGGACTTGTGCTGCAAGCTTTCCCTGGTCAAATTTTGACAGCAACACCTCCGCCTTTGCCGATGTTTACCTCGACTCCAGTCGTGTTAAAAGGTTCTTCCAATCCTCGTGATAAATCAAGTGAAGCTACAAAGACTGTACTGACCGTCCAGTACCCGAGTAAAACTTTGAACAAAACCCTGAGTGGAAGTTATCAGGCCATTGGAAAGGCTTTAGCGCATGGGATTCCTTCGCAAATCGCAAATGCGGTAATGAAAAATCCGACGATCAAGAATCACATCATTGAAAATACGTTGAAAACCCTGTCAAAAGAGGTAGAGTCATTATGTTCGAGAAATAATCCTTCGCTTTTGAGAAAGTCAAGCAAAGAGGATCTGGCCAAGTTCGACTTCCAACTTCTATGCAACGAGTGGAGACAGAGAGCACCACTGTTCTTCTCGTTCTTGATGACTTCGGCAGTGAACAAAAGGACTAAAGAGTATTCATGGTTCTCAAGCGTAGCCATAGCGGGATCAGTACTTCTAAAACAGAGGAGTGAGAAAATGGATGCCACTGAAGTCTTATGGAAGCTTATATACAGGGTCGTAACGAGGTATATTTTCTCCCACCTAATCCCACATTTCGACTTTAAATTTTGATCCCTGATCCCAAAATTGCTGCAAATCTTGATCCCTGACCCCATGAAAATTTTTTGATCCCTGGATTCAATCCGGGGTTGGATTAGCTGCATATCATAGAAAAACTAACGCCTCTAGTCGTACATCACTATCTAACTATCCTTGTAGACTACTCATACTAATGTGCGTAGCTTCAGAGGCGTAGCTCGAGATCTTGAAGTTGTACGATGCGCGGTGATGAAGATTTGCAGCACCGAAGGCGGCCCAGCCTAGGGAAGTCAGGAAGCATGCTCCCCTTGTGGGAAGGAGCGTTGCGTGACGATACTAAAAACGGCTGCGAGGGAGACAATTGTACCACGTGACCAAGTTTTTCCTTAACTTGTGCTTTACTGTTCATTACTTCTACCCCACAATTAGTAGCTTCACGTTGCGTTTGTCTATAACAATTGTTTTTGACTGGCTTTAGCTGCACGTTTTCTATTTTGAGAAATTCTCAATGAACTTGAATCTGAAGTTTGCCGTTTGCCGTAAACGTCAGTCTAAATCTCTCAAATAGCAAGGGCTAATCTATGGCGAGACATGTTTACGGAGCGAATTACAATAGTGAAAGAAGAAAAAGAAAAATTATAAAGCCGGGAAATTTTTAGAGAAAACAAAACCCATATAATGACTTTACCTAAACATTGAACAATGATGTAAATCTTATCATTTTCATTTCCTTTACGTAGAATAATGGCAACGCTGGATACAACGTTGGGGACAAGCTGGGTAGTAAGAAAACCCCCCTTCCAGAGACTGATCAACTACCACAGGTAAATTCATTTCTATCACTGGGAAGAAAATCGCGTGTATATTAATAAAGCTACTCAACAGTTTTCATACACATAGATACAAATGCGATCATAACGTATCATAAATGCGATTCTTCTTTCATTTTGGGTTCGAATTTAAATTAAGGGGTTATTTGATTGCTGATCGTTTACGTGTTTAGTGTTTTTTAGTGTGGTTATTACTTATTCTTTAAATTAAATGGGCTTAAAAGATATTTTTTTCCAACACTACCGCAGGAAAGCATCTTTTTCGTAGTTTTTATTTGACTGGTCATACTCAAGGTGTAAAGTGCAATTTTAAAGTGCGAGAACTCCTTATGAACTTGACCACTTGTTGTTTCTTTCCAAATCGAATTGAAATTTGGAGTACCCTGAGAAAAACGTCAGCCATTCCTTTTTCCTTTTGCTAGCAGCGAGGAACGAGGGGAAACGGCTGCATTCGTGGGCTAGGCACCGAGACATACAGCACGTTGCCGTATCAATTTTTAACTTCACATGTGAAATTAAAACTTTTAATTAATTTAACGCTGAAATTTCACGCCAAAATTAAGGATGTATTTGTCACCCATACATACATTTTTTGTCAACATGAAATTCAAAGTTTTGTCGTTTTACTTAAATTTATGATCGAGTCATACGACTTTAGCTTTTCTTTGAACATGTGAATAATGTCTGAGTGGCCCTTCATTGTTTCAATTAACAGGAGTTTTACATGAGTGGGTTTAATGACAAAGCTAAAACTGAAGTTGAAATCATGTGGACAAACCAACACGGGACCGGAAAAAAGGCAGATCACTTTGTAGAGTCACAAGTGATTCTACAGTATATGTGTCAAGAATTTCCTGATGGAGATGTGCCTTTAGCGAATATCAACACACAGTTTGAGTACCACACTATTCGTAATGGGGGAACTTCTAGCACGCAAACATTTAGAGCCAACCAAAAAGAAAGTTCTGATGTTAAGCTGACCCTTGGACTTCACGAACCGTACAATTATTACCAGTCGTATCTCCGCCGCGAGCGAAACAAAGGTAGGACGTTCTATATACGTCTGGAGGGTACTCAACAAAGCCTTACCCCTTACCCTTTTACCTGTATATACGCTTTTGATAGAAAAGTAGCCTGTTCCAGGCTCTCAGATAGTGGGGGAAGACGCGAAAGAAAAAGGCGCGCGAAAAGTTGGCGGGGCGGGAAAAAGGAAAAGGCCGCCCCTTCTCTCCCCAGTTTCCTCCCGTTTTATTTTCGTGTTTGCGCTTTCTCAATGCAGCGGACCCGACTATCTCGGAGCCTGGAACAGGCTAACAGAAAAGGTCCTCCTTATCGTCTATTGGAAAATGGTAGCCCTTTCCCATACCTAGCAGGGCTTTCAATAAGCACCGACAACCGACGAAACGCGTCGGCTACTTTACTCAGAGCAGTCGGATACTTTTCTACCCGAAAAGAAGCAATTAGTTTTAAAAATATCGTGAACAAAAATAAATCAGTAAATCTGAATTAAAACGTAAGTTAATTATGATATGCTTTCAAGGTCCACTGATATGTTATGCTTTAGTTATACCAGAAGCGCTTCTGGTTACACAAACGCTGTATTTCAGTCAATTTTTCCCACGTTTCTTTGTGGTCTACGCAGAATTTGTTTATGAACAAATGTACTTAATTTTGAATAGTGACATTAGCCATTGCTTGTAAAAATTGATTCTGTGGCTTTGAAACGTGAATGAAAGCTATATTTTCTTGAATGAGAAACACAGTGTTTTGTTCTCAATTTAGTTCCCGTAACACTGGAAATCACTTTTCAGCGCTCTGAAACTTTCCAAACATTTTCTGGGGAGCACGTCCCCAGACGCCCTCAGAAGAAGGGGACTACGGCCCCCTCGTTGATACAGTCGGTTACTCTATTCAAACCTGCTGGCTACTTCAATTATTATTGAAACCCCTACCTAGTTTAAAACTTTTCATCCTTTTTAAGTAAATGGACTGCCTCTTAAATATGAATAAATTCCCCCAAAACACGAGCATTTCTGTTAGCCCTTTTGGGATAAAATGAAAGATTTCCCTACCATCAACTAGTTAAATTCTTAACCTTTCATAAAGCTGAAGTCTTAAAAGAGGGTATATACACTCAGAATTGTGGGTGTTGAAACACTTGTAGTCTTCGCTAAGGCTCATTTGCATAAAGCTTTTTTTATGAAGCGCGCGAATTTTCTACAACAGTTGCTGTCTCCTTTGTGCCAAGTCTGAGGAACTTTCTATGGTCGCCTTGGGTTTTCAGTACCTGTTTATCGGCATTTGGCATATGTCATTTGGTGTAGCTCATTTGGACCATAATGCGTTTTGTTCCACAGGTTTGTTTACCGCTGACCAAAAGCTCGCCGGTGATTCACCAATTTACACGCGGCAAAATAAAGCCGGAACAAGGAGGGGATATGAGGTTCCTGAGGAGCGTGATTACTATCCATACTGGGGCCCCAGTCCTTGGAGGGACATTGCCATCATGGTCAGCGATGTGAAGACCTTTTGATTTGATGAAGAGGCATGTTAACAGCTCTCAATACGGCTACAAATGTGAGTGTATTCTAGTTAAGATTCTGTTTAGAAATATCACGGGAGGATTCATTAAGAGTTGGAACTACAGCCTATGAATCTCTCTCTACAACGGACAAAAACCTTGCAGAGAGTTGTCCGTGACATGACGGCGAAGGTAGCGAAAACGTCTCTGATAAATCTAATGTTCACTTGAGTTTTAGCTGATCCAATAACGGTACCCTATCTAAAGAGCATACCGGGAACACAACGTCAACAAGGGCTAAAACGATACCCTATTTAAGGATGGAGGCCCTGAAAAAACTATACCCTATCGGGCGGCACATACTTATCCAGCCCATATTTGGGAGTACTCCCCAGCGTACCTAGAATACACCCACAACATTGTGTGTTTCTTTTCTTTGTTTCAAATTACGTTATACAGATCTGTGCATCATGCGGGGCAAATCAAGTGATCAATGCCCCAAAAAGAATGATGGCCTCCCTGGAGAAAAATGCGTTGCTAAATATCTCACCGCAGAGGCTTGTAAGAAGGCTGGTGGGAAGTGGACACGATTCATCACAAACGTTATGGAGAGAACGCGTGGCGTCCTAAGTACGTGCCATGGAATCGACGGAATGAAGCTGAAGAGAGGCGTTCCGTATGAACCACATAAGGTCGCACAAGGTGGAGATCTACTGCAGCAGTATGTCCTTGTTCAGAAGCCACCCGAAGTTTTGTATGCGCCTTCCACTTATATCAACCACAATGGAGTAGGCCGCGATGGGAAGTTTACGTCATACAAATGGAAAGTCCCCTTATTTCCTTCCAACGTAACACAACGTTGCGTGTTACGTATAAGGTTAGATTCAGTAAAATCATAGTGATGGGATTTGCCTAAACTCTGAAATAGAGCCAAATTCTGTATGACAACAAGTAGTCGTTTATGTTGTTGGGACATGACGCAGCGACAAATTTGCGTTCAGTAGATACACAGGAACATGACGATCCACAGAATCATGTCCAATATACACAAACGGATACGATTCGTCAAACCGATTGTCCATTGGTACCAATGGTACGATTGGTACCAATAGAAAATGATGTCAGTCCAATGGTTCTATTGGTGAATATGCATCTCATGATAGTAATGACAGAGTGATTTACTAGACATGGAATGGAACCAAATCTTATACCTTAAACCTCCCACTTATAAGCTCCCACGTTATAGGCCTACTACCTCTTCCATCTACAGGAAATTAGAGCCGGTTATAAGCCCCCCTCTAGCTTGTATTGGAATAAATTCGATTTTTTACGACGTTTTAAAGGTTTAAAAAGTGAACAGATTCAAAAAGTATTTTGATAAGCACTGTTATGTGGCTTGTTTTTGTTTTGAAACGCTCTTTTTAGCTCTTCAAAATATAAGCCCCCTGTTTATAAACCCTTCTAAAACCCCTTACGAAGTTGTCTAAGCCCAAAGCTTTTATAGCGGCAGTTTACGGTATGACAGCCTGTCGTCGTGTATGTTGCGGAAATGGTCGCAGCGACAAATTTACGTTCAGACATGAAGCATGGGTTCGAAACAGTCCTGGAACACTGATCTCCCTTTGCAGTCAGCAGTGCACAAACACATTCAAACAATTCAGGAACACTTTCTCGCGGTTATTAGCGCCTTTTTAGCAATTTGTGCCCATGACATGCCCAGTGTTCGTGCGACATGTCGTAGCGAAAAACATTGCCCGAAAATTAGCGTGTTGCACAAATTAAAACGTGTAGGCGTGTGTGGCTGAGCAGTAAACACCTCGAACTCTGGGTCTGGAGGTCTGGGGTTCAAGCCTCACCGGTCGCGTTGTTTCCTTAGACAAGGAACTTTACTTCACTTAGTCTCTCTTCACCTAGGTGTATAAATGGGTACCGACGACATACTGCTGGGGGATAACCATGCCATGGACTAGCAACCCGTCCAGGGGGGAGTACCAATACTCCTAGGTGCTTCATGCTACGGAAACCGGCATAAGCTCCGGCTGTTTGGGCCTTTGGCTCGTTTGCGCATTTACCTTACCTTATACTCACTCAATGATTTGTTAACTCAAAGCTAATCTGTGTCTGTAGCAGGAAACTATAAAGGGATATGTCTCCCATCTGCGCCGCGCATGTTCTCCGGCTCAGATGGCGAGGGCAGTAGACTGGATACCTTTAAGGCTCCGTCCACGCTAATCCTTTTTCGTTTGAAAACGCACTCATTTCGATGCGTCTAGGTCTTTCGGTAGAAAACTTATCAAATTAAAACGATGACTGAAAATATCGCAGGGGCGTTTGTTTCTACTCATATGCATAGAGTTCAACTGACGTCACAACGTGCAGTTCTACCGTTGTCGAACGTTTTAGTGTTGAAAGTCGAAAACGCATCAAAACGTTAGTGCGGACGGGAATCGATGCGTTTTTGATGGAAACGAAAACGCATCCTTCTGAAAAAGCATTCTTTTTTTGTGTGGACAGGGCCTAAATCCTTCTCTAGCTCCGTTTGTTGTTATCATGTCCAGTGCGGCATTCTGTTCTTTCTTTTTGCGGTGTATTTGTCCATAGGAAATATCAATTTCATTTTTATTGTAGATATAACATCACCAGTGACGATGTTCCACGCGAATTTGATGCCAGTGATAACGATAAGTAAGTGAAAATTACATGGGAAATAATAAATTAGAGAGATACAGCTTTACTTAGTACTAATGTTGTTATAAATTTAGTGTATCAGAAGAGATTCAACAAACCATGGAGGTGCAGGACACTTAGTCATTAGCCCGTTCCATGCGTTCAGATAATAGAGCACGGCGGTCAGATGGGTGGGGAGCGAGTTAAATTGTATAATTTTTCTTTTTCTTTTCTCTTTTTCACCCGCCCTCTACTATCTGAACGCCTGGAACGGGCTACTTAGTCATCTGTACGGCTAAAAAAGAGAACAACATTCGGAATGAAAAATAGTAAAAAAAAGTTCACGTTATTTAGACTGGTCAGCTCCTGTAATCACGTCAAACTTAAAACATTCAAATCGTATTCAGCACTTTAATCGATATGCAACCCCCTCCTGTTTTCTATGGGAAAAGCTCTGAGGGCTACGTCGATTAATATGGCGGCCGGCATATCGGTGTTCAACAATCTAATTTCCCGTTAGTATAACATTTTGTCCTGCTTTTCAACAGTTGTATTCGTGATACTATTTGACGAACACTTTTTTAACCCTTGTCCTGATTATGCAAACTGAGGTTCGAAAGAAAAAGTTGGATGTTTCCAGCTGAAAAACCATGTTATTTGTGAGGATTCGTATCAACTCTAAAAATAATTCACGCAATACAGAGGAATAAAGAACAGTCTAAGCCCCAAAGCATGATAATTGTTCCATGTGGTTTTGCCTAGCCCCAAAACAGTAATGTTGCCTCTCACCCATCCCCCTTTTTTTTTTTTTTTTAATTAGAATCCGTCATTGTGGTGCACAAATTCTTCCCAGCACACACTGTACTTTGATGACCGTTATTGAAATTGAAACGTACATCACGATCTCGCCTTTCCCTCTCAACTCACACCTCACTTATCCTCTTCTTGCCTCGTGGCACATAAGGCCTTCACCGAGTCCCTTCATTTATCTCGGTTAGCCGCAATGGTCTTCACTTCCTTTCAAGACTGCCATCCTGCTTCTGCTCTTTCTTTTTCGACCGTTCGCCTCCAGGTGGTTTTTGGTCTTCCTCTTCTTCTTTTTCCTTCTGGTACCCTCTCTAGCTACCTGCACAATGTTACCATTGACTTCTGTACAGTGTACGTGTTCATGATGTTTTTGAGGTGTATCAGAGGCCTATTCAGCTCGGTGGCGTCCTGTTGGCTTTGGCTTTCGCGCATCATATAGTCACTCCTGTTGAGAGGACCGGCCACAGTCTTCCCTTGATAAAGTGAATTTTCTCTACTTTTGGTTTTTGTAATAACAGGGTTTAAAGGGAGACGCCGGGTTATCAGCCCTCAGCCCAACCCCCAACCTGGAGGACCACTCTGGTCTCTATCCTTCAACCTGTCCGGCATGGGTGGCCCTTAACCAGGAGTCAATCACTCCAGCCGACGTAGCTCTATGGGTCATTCAGACACGCCAACCACTCCACGGTAAGGTGGTGGTCCCTCTGGAGCAATGCCGTTCCCTCTACTCGTGGTTAAACTACTCACAAAAATTCCCCGTTGCGCATTTTGTTGTACAGATCTTATTGTCTGTGGCAAAAAATAATCTTTTGTCTTTTAGAGTTAAGAACAACCCGAAAACTAAAGCTACTGATGGCCTAACAGAACTTCAGCTTGCCTTGAACACCGCTCAGGTTGGACGAACATTCCAAGACAGAACTCACGTATTCCTTCTGAAACCACGGAGCGTTCTCTCTGAAAAATATCAGAAATCCACCATAAAGTACATTCATGGGATGGGAAAGAGAGGCAACATTGTACAGGCGTATCCTTCCATGGAGTATCGCTTTTTTCCTGAACTGCTTCGTGTTACAACAGACGATGTGGTGTGTTTCGTCTGGTCTGGTAAGTGATTACGGCTGAATGATCAAATCAAAAAAGCTATACCTTTAATGGAAACCTCAGAATATTCCACGTTACTTAGGTTTAGTTAGACTACGTTTTTAGTCCCTGGGTTACTCCCTGTAGTGGCCTAGAGGCGGAGGCACTGCTCGAAAGGGGTACCTTTTTCAAGCGTTTCAGGTTTTTAAAAGAGTAGGGAATGTGGTGCATTAACAGCAGTTTTGAAAGTGGAACCATGTGTCAATAGAACGAATAAAGGGGTATAATCTTTTTTGTGAAAAATGGCACATAAAAAGGTGATTAAGCGTCGGACCTCAGGGTGGACCCTCTCCTTACAAAATCTTTGTTCAGTGCCTTCCTGGGGGTTTAAGTAACGGGCCATAGAGACCTGTTTTTTTTATTTAATATCTAATTTCCTTTTTTTCAGGTTCAAACCATAATCCCAGGGGCCGTGCCGGCCAAGGGACAGATCGTAAGTTACCTGTCTGTCCTATCTTGTTGTTTCTAATAATTGTACCAGGTCTTAATTTTTGCGATTACAAAACCACGGAGTTAACGATACGTAAAGTTATAACCCAGTTCTTTACTTTCTGAATTAGCAATCTTATTAGTAGAAATCGCTACTTTCCGAGTTTCGTTATTTTCAGGAGTAAAAAGAAGCTGTTACCATTTAGATGATCTAAGCATGTTTGGGAGAATGACGCCAGTACAAATGTAGTTGCAACAATTTATTCCGTGAATGTATGAAAGTGAGAATCGGATCGGTATCTGACTACAGATGACTTGCTTTCTTCGGACCTCTCTTTCCCACAGAGTCTCCCGCTGGGTCGCAAAAATGTTTTCCTTCCCATCTTCCCCGCGCGCTTTCTTTTTACCCTCTCCCCAGCCTTCACACGACACAAAGAGGCCTCTGCAGAGGAGGGGGACTAAAAACTAAAATAAAAATCATTGTTTTTGAAAACATGTATTAAATCACGCCGTTGTCGTCCATACTCCAGACATTGACAATTTCCAGCTGACTCAGTGTTAATAAAATCTTTCTTTTGACTTCTGAGAAAAGTCGAAGCAAATGATGGGTATTCCCACCCCTTTGACATGAGCACCCCCCTGCCCAATTCTTGACAATTCTTCAAACTGCCCTTTTGATCGGTTAGTCACATTATACTAGAAATTTTAATCTTCATGCTTTTGAGCGTCACCCTAAACATAATAGTATTACATGTACAGCGAAAGTTTCTGTCGCAAAAGCATTATGCTCAATTAATTCTGGACAAATTTTTGCCTTTTTCCTGCCCCTTACCCTGCCCAAACAAATTACCTCTATAGTAGGTTAACAAGACAACGTTTTAATGTTTTTGGTACAATGCACGCGGCAAAAACAAGTTCTCAATGGCCCTTAATTTGTTAGGAACCTGGCTTTATGCCGATAGCCAAGCCTTGAAATGAGTTTTATAGTGAAAGAAAGCTGTTGCAAAGAAAATTTGAGACATTTTTGCCATAGGCTTTTTTAAAATTTTTTTATTGAATTTAATGTATCAATATGCTAAAAATGCCCACTATACTGGCATCATGCTTGATGCTCTAACTCATGCCCAAAATCATGCTGATATAATGTTATAAACCTTTTAGTTACTTTTGATGTCCGTATTAAGGAGGTTCAGCACTGTTTGTAAGACGTAACTAAGATTAAATATTTGATGTGGAAACAACAGTGGGCCTATGAGCGTCTTTGTTTGCAATTTAGAAACGGATCGCACCAACGTATGTTGGGTGGAGGAAGGATGTAGTTCCCTCAAACCCCCATCTTGTTCCAGTTCGATTCTTGATGTGGTTGATCATGTGAATAAATTTGACAGCGACGAGTTGAATCTGCACCTCAACAAAGGCTGTTACACCGGTTCCGCCTCATTGAACGCTGAACTTAATAATGCACCAGCTTCCTGTAATCCACCATGTTTCCGCATCATGTTGCCTGGGGAATACTGTTACATGGGCACGCGCAATAATAACTTCTCTAATCGTCGTCACATGGGAAAAATCATTGTGACCCAAGGCACCGTTTTTCCAAAGCTAGACTACGGGGGCAACTCATACCCAGGGAAATCGTGTAAAGATATCAAAGATATCAGGGACAAATTGAAAGAAAAACGTACGAATGGAATCTACTGGATTACGCTGAAACACAAAGGTTAGTTGGACTATACTGAGCTGATCTGTGTCTCAAAGTTATTGTTTCTGAGATGTAATTGTTCGATGAACAAACCTTTAAACTGCATCAACTCGGTTTTAAGTTGGTCACTACTACTTATAACTCTTAATTGAGGGGGGAGCTACAGGAGGGTAAATCTCCCTCCTCTCTACTTTTTCAGCCAGTTTCTTTTTCCTCCCTACTCTTTGGGGCAATTTCTTTCTCCTCCCCAAATTTGGTTTAAAAATTGGCGGCAGGCAACACACAACTCCTGCACTTAGTCGTAAGGTAAGTTTTCTGACCTTCAGAGCTTTGCCTCTACACCAACATACGGCACGAAGATTGTGTAACCACCATATGTCATGCATACGAAGATTTTTAAGGAGAAAAAGCCCTGTGGGGTACTCCAGGGAATTCTTGCTGGGGGTGTGCCGCCCGGATCTCCAATTTCTGACCCTATTTCAGACCAAAAAATCTCGTTATTCACGCCCGTTTTCAGACCTGGCCTCTAAGAAATAGTGTCATCATTACCTTAGTAATGCGATTAAGCGCCTTCCAAAAAGCGCCCCCCTTAGAGTGTGTTTTTGTTAATAAGCGCCCCTAGTCTATTAGGCGCCCCCATTCCAATAAGCGCCTCCATTGTTATAAGCGACCCCGTTCTATTAAGCGCCCCTAATCTAATATTACAATATTAGAGTACGGGTATGTATCAACCGTGGTTCATTTTCCTTTAATTGCTCACAAACGTACAAAACAAGGATCCTTTCGACGGGATCATCGAATCGGACAGCGAATTTTAGAAAATTTATTCAGTAAACTGACTTCGCGAAGTTTCAAACCGGTGTCATTTCAGTCTAGAAATTTTTATGTTGAGTGAGCTGCAGCAAAAGAGTGCCTGGTTAAGGCTTACATAACAACTTAAATGGTTAGCAAAACACTACTTTTTTTCGCGGTTCGATAAACAACAGGATTCCGCATGGAATAGACATAACTGAATGAAACGTAGTGCACAAATTATCACTTTCTTATCTTCAAAAATCGGCCCATGGGTCAATGCCATAAGAGCCCACTGAAACTAGACCTAGATCCAATTTTCTTGAGTCGAGAGTCGCTTTTCCAAGGTACAATCAGCTAAGATAAACACCGATAATTAATATTGATGGCTGGCCCAGAATATTTTGGCCAAACCGCAGTTCAACCACGCGATCACATACCTATCAACACCATGCGGAAATCACGCAATCACACACTTTCGCGGCACTGATAAGACCATCCACAACCACGCATAACACAAATCCCTAACCACAAAACAAACAAAAAAAGAAAAAACGACATAAGCAAACAACACAGTAAACAAGCTATTAGACAGGGAAAGTTGAGAAAAATTACAAAATGTTTGCTAACCCGGTTTCATAACTCCAGGTATACATATTTGTTACTGTTACAGCTTCTGTTATTGTTCCGTTTTTAAAAAACATGAAAGTTTTGTTTTGAGCATTTGGTTGTTTCTCAAAAGGGAAATAAGCGCCCTGTTCGGAATAAGCGCCCTGCCTCGAATAAGAGCCCTTCCTTGATCAGGAGGTACCAAAAGTAAATATTAAGCACCTGGGGCGCCAAATCGAATCAAAAAAGACTTGTTAAAATCCATTTCGAATTTGCATATTTTTCCTTCTGTCTTAGTCATTTGAAACTGAAATGATAAATACGTTCATACACTCCCGTAGTTCCCTCGAACACCATACCCGACAGGTGGCTGGAAGATTCCTGGTTGTGTCCACAAATCCCTGCCGCCTTGTTCTGCGATTAAAGTTCAACCGGCAAACTTGTTTTTCTTTCTGGAGATTTGTTAAGGCTCAGAAAATTGGCGTGAGATTTTTTGGGGGTCAATTTTTAGTCAAGGGATATTTTTGTGGGATTTGTTGAAGGCCCTAGGTATTTCTTCGGGTTTTGATTTTTAGCCCCATTCGAGCATTCCTGTCCCTTGAAATCCGGAGTATCCCCCCTGGGCAAAAAACCCGTCCCTTTGGGGCGGCAGATGCCTAGGCTTATATATGGGAGTAACCCCCCCCCCCCCCCGGGGGGAAAGCCTCTATACCTACCAAGTATTTAAGAGAAATACTCTAACTTATATTGACAGAGAAAGCGTTTCAATTTTGCAGTAGCAACTACCTACAGACCCATAGAATTGCCATGGGAACAAAGATAGCCGTTGATTTTGCAAACACATTACAAACCAACAGAAACTTTTCAGTACACGAAGTTCTACTCATGTCACACAACAGGTGTGAAGAAAGGCTTCATTAAAGGAGAAGCGCGCCGGCTTCTAAGGACCTATTCCTCTCAAACCACTTTTGAGAAAAATACCCAAAAATTTCGAAAATCGCCCGATAGAAAGAGGCTACCCTGCCTCTATTGTGAGAAAGTACCTCTCCGAGGTAAAACTCGCCGACAGGAAGATAGCTCTTTAACAGAGAAACAAATCCGCCCTTAACTTAAGGGCGGAAAACACTACCTTTCGTTGCACAAAGTCAATACCACTCTGCGTATCTTAGCCTAACGAAAATACTAGTGGGGAAATTGTACCTTATACAAAACCAACAACAGCTAATAGAAATCCTAAAGGAGCCTCCCCTCATAACATATCATAAGGGAAATACACTTAGGAATTATTTGTTAGAGCGAAGCTCTGAAGGTCAGATTACGACCAAGTGCATGAGTCGTGTGTTGCCCGTCGCCAGTTTTTAAACCTGGTAGCCTGAGATGTGTCAAGTTTGATTCCATGCTTTCTCGGTTAAGTCCTACCAAGGGAGTCAAAGGAGACCCAAGGGGATTGCCGTGTATGTCAATTTTTCTATTCCCCCCATCCCTTGTCATCACGCAAGTTAAAAAAAAGCCCTAAAATTACCTTCTCATCGATATCTCCCTACTCCCACAACATTTCATTTTCTCCCTCCTCCCTACATTTTCGCCCCGATTCTCCCTCCTCCCTATTTTGTGCCTCCCCCTCTTAATTCTGGTAAAATTCTCATCTGTGTCCAACCAGTCTGTAAATCTACCTATCCATTTTTCATTATTTATTTACTGATTTGTTCCTCAAAAGGTGGCACATAAGTTTTGTTTGTCGGTTGTTGCATAAAAAATAACAACAACAACAAACAAAACAAAATCATATAAGCATCACATCAACGGAAGCCAAACAATGCAAATGATATTTTGTTCGCTGCCACTGTAAGTTAATAAAGTGATGGATATATGAATTTCACATATTTAAACCGCGAAATGCAGAAATAAACGAAGAGAAGATCATCGCAGTTAAAGACGCAACTCAATGCAGTTGCGAAAAGAAAGCCTTGAAAAATTTCAGGCTTGTCGAGATTCGAACTCTGACCTCTGCCATACCGGAAATGTTAAACTCAACTTACAAGCGTCGCTTCCAGGATTTCGAACTTGGCTGGGCCACAGTTGTGGGAGGCCATGGTATTCTCACTACTTCACCACCTTGCGCATGCCTCCCTTCTATTTAACTGAAAAGTTCACGATTGTTCGGCGTTGTATTACTTTACTCTCGGTGTATAGCATGTTCAAACCCACTCGGAATGGAGAAGGGAAGCATAACCAATGCCCAGATCACAGCTTCCACCCAATATCACAGTCCATACCGATCTTACCATGCCAGACTGAATTCCAACGGTGGCTCGTGGGTTCCCAGAACTAATAACGGTCATCAGTGGCTGCAAGTGGATCTTGGTAAGAAAACCGAGGTGACAGGAATAAAGACCCAGGGACGATATAACGCCCATCAATGGGTTACAAGTTACCGTGTATCCTACAGCAACGACGGCTCCACCTTCGAAATCTATAAGGAAAACAATAAAGTTAAGGTATGTATTCAATTGAAAATCATTGCAAGAGCAATTAAGTCAGCCAATTACCGTAAATACTCGATCACTGGCTTCCCCTTCTAGTAAACAGCTCTCCGCCCAAGAAAGAACAAAACGGAGATTGTGTTTCACGTTAGACGGCCTGTTTGACACCTGTGCATGATTGGTTATAGTAAAACAGAGGTTTTGAAAAAATCGTTGGTAAGATAACTAAAAATAAGTAACATCATGACTTAAAGGTGAATTGCAAATGTGTACCAAACTCATTTTAAAATTTGTGTTTTTACTATTGACACTGATACGTTAAAAGTCACTTGAATTATCGGTGCATTCGCCTTAATTAGAATATTAACGAAATAAGTGCCCCCTCTCGCCTCAGAAAATCAAAGAAGCATCCCCAACGCTACTCACTCATTCCCAGTTAAAGTAGCCAATGAGATCTGCAAAATCGAGCAAAAAGATAAGTCTTCATGATTTTGATTTTGATTTCAGTAACACAAAGCTACAAGGCTTGTATTCGTTGCATCTTAAAAAAATTCCATGTAATCTTAAGTATTTACGAAGTTATCGCATTTTTAGTATTGCTATCTCAGTTTAAAAAAAAAAATAATCGAGATTTCGCACGAATATCAGGGTATTATTTAGCAATTAATAAATTCGGCTTTCGTAGGATATGGAGAATTAAGCAGATCGAGGAGGGTGTTATCCACCTCGGCCTTCGGCCTCTGTGGATAACACCCTCCTCGATCTGCTTAATTAACCCCCGAGATCTGAGCTGCTTAATTCTTCATATTCTACGAAAGCCGAATCCATTAATTGCTTTATTATTCATTCAAAATAATTCCTATTTAAAAACAGCTAAAACATGCTTACCAGCATCGATGTTAAGCTTATCTTCGATAGTGTACGTTTAGGTTTGTCCAGCTCCGCAAATATTCTCCAAATAGCAGGTGTCGCCCTCCGAGTTGTCTTCTTGCTGTTTTTGCTATGTTTTTAGCCATTATCTCGCCTGGTTCCAGCTGTAGTACTTACTCTTGAAACGAGTGAAGTGTCCGCCGTTTTAATTTTCACAACGAAAACAACTTAACCACGTCCCCAGGTCTTCTCGGTTAACGATGCATTAACCTGTGGAAGGCTGCATTTTTGACGTCATTTCCTCGTTAAGCACAAAATTCTTCCAAATTTGGTCATCAGTAACTGATTATGGTGAATTATGCGTGTGCTTTTAGCCAATCAGAATTGGGGAAATATTTTGAATGAATAATAATTTTTCAACCTTGGATAATGAATTTCTAGCATTGAACTGGTTGGCTCTCTCAGTCTCGGTTTAACTTAGTTTAGTTTACCTCCTTAGTTTGACCTCATATGGAAAAACAACAAAATTTCTCTAAGACAAAGCGGCGGAAAAAAGTAGATTTCGCGAGCTTTCCACCGACGAAACAACAGGAAAAAAACAGAAATGCCATAACGGCAGCGACAAAAAAGCCACAAACTTTAGTTTGAAATTATTTAATGGTACTCCGAAGTTTCCTTAGAAATTTAAAGAAATTATAAGAATAATTCTTCCGTACGTCGAGCTGATTTTGTAACTACAGCAACAACAACAACAACAGCAAAGTTTACCTTAAAAACTTTCAGAATGGTTTGCATTAGTTCTCGCAGGAGTAAGTTTTCAAAACAATTAGCAGATTTTTTGCGTGTTTGAAGAGCTTTTACACCTCTTAACACTTTCGCAAGTCCATAACGGACCATAACGGGCTTCAAGTGAATCCTACAAACAGCGACTTTCCATTGAACAACAACAAAAACAAATTGATTAATGAAGCCGGGTCTTTGTGCAGCTGCGATTTAGTGGATTCAGTGGAGGAGGAAAACGAAATTGAGCAATCAGGTCGACCTATTCAGGGTCAAATTCCACAGTCACAGAGAGGGAAAGCGAAAACAGTACTTGTCGAGAATAATTTACGCACAGCGTCTTTTCCTGTCAGATTTTTCATTCAACTAAGTTCATAAACGGCGCACATGCCATGTGATTTTCCCTTGGTTTACCGGAAGTTACATTAATATCCGGTCGTTTTGTAACATTTAAAATGAAATTTACTAAAATTCAGTTGTAATAACCGGAGGTTTGGAGTTTAAATTTAACAAAACAATTATTCCATTCGCGCTTGTTACTCTCGCTCGCGTAAGCAGTGAGGCTCAGAATCTGCAACGCGTTTTTGCATTTTTGTTCCTATTTTATACACAAATGGGGGGCCATTGTGTCAGGCGTTCCTAGCGAAGACCGTGGAAACTGGGAATAAGAATCGTTGCGTGATCGAAGTCACACATGTTTAGGAAAGATTAAATTTAGAGCTTTTCCGGAACGTGTCGGTCCACGAATTCTATCGCTTCAAAGCGTTGATTGCTTTGGAACAAGTGAACTTCACTGAGTAGTTGAAGAAAAAAAAAGAATCTTAATTAGCAAAACTGCGATGATCGGGTGTTGTAAACTTTCATTGTATGCAGATGGCTCTTGTGACGAGAATGCGGTTTATTTTCGATGATGATTCGAAGATACCCTGAGCACGCATAGATACACAGCGAAATCAGCCGAATTTCCTCCGAAGTGTTTTCGGATCACGACGAATCTATTTTGTTGTAGCGTAGCAGTTGTGGCGCCAAGATGTCGTCATGTCTCTTCGCACTTGTTTGTCTTCTTTTTTCTGCGGTACATGGTTGAGATGTTGGTGAATGCTGCACAAGAAATGGATTCTTCGAGAGGCTGTAAGTACAAATTTAGTATTAATTTAGTGATGAGAAAGCCTGAATATCGAAGAGATCCCGTGAATTATCCTTTTGGTATTCAGTTTATCTTACTGTTGAGCATACTTAGAACTCTCAGGCATAAGTGGTTGTCAACTCGTTCACTTCGGATATATTTTTTCTGTTTGTCCGTCTTAACTAGTCTTCTTCTGCTATTAAGAAGACTACAGAAAACTTCAAAAAATTAGAAACCAACGCTAAAAAAATTTAGATCTAATTTTGCATAGTTTGACTGTTGTTTGAAAGACAATCATACTTATATTACGATCACTTTTGGAGACAAAATAAAATATCTGTAAATCAAATACCAAAATCAGATTTAGATTTCGCTTTAAAAAAAAATGAAAATGTTGCAGATGTCAATGCAAAGTTGTAAAACAACTCAATATAAAGCTTTAAAAGCAGTCTGTGAATTTGCGTTTAGGTCCAGAAAACTAATTTAAAATTTCTTTTTGACGTATCATCCCAGAAAAGACTTATGCCCTGCATTGCTTGTCTACGAGTGTTTTACAAAATGCTTTACTACAGCAAGCCTCTGAGAGGCGATTCTGATAAATTTATAGCACGCTAAAAAGCAAAAAAATCTAAGCTTACTTTAACTTAAGCTAAAATAAGAATTTCTTGCAAACAACCTGGCTGGGTCCGGGTTTTGAATTGCAAAATGTTCACGTTTGCCCGCTCTTCTTTTAATGAACATGGTTTTTGAAACGATTTGGTATTTCTTGACCCAAAAATTATCATTTGGTTATTATAAAAGCTTTTAAAACCGACCAAAACTAAGCTAATAAACATGTTCAACGTAAAAAAATAAGATTTACTTTCTCTTTTTTAACTTTGCTTTTGTGGGCCGAAAAATTTAAGTTTACCTTTACGCAAAAATAAAAAAAACAACGAGGCTTTTATTCGACATCACTAGCATTGTTTTCGAATGGGAATTTTCCTAATTATATAACCTTTTAATTTTAATTAATAATTTTGATACTCAGGCCCGGTTCAGAAGCCGAACTTTTCGTGAGCTGAACCTAATATTCGAATTAAGGCCGACCCAAATTATTTCGACCGGCTGATTTGATTCAGACGCTGAACTAAGTTCAGAAGGCGAAAAATGCTCAATCGGGCCAACTACTAACAAGGTACATGAAAGGTTCGGCGTCCGAATCAAAGCCGTTCCAAAGTCGCTCCAAAGGCGAAATTTCCGGCCGGGCCAGGCGAAAAGAACTGCTAAGCCGTTTCATAATTGAAACAGGCGTTCCTAAGTGATTCAGACGCCGAACTTTTCATGTATTTAATTCATTATATTCGGTTCGGCTTATGGAAAGTTCGGAGTTTGAACCGGGCCTAAGCTTTTTTTTATACACTTCTCATATGGTAGTTTCACTTTTTTATACACCGATTGAGAAACAAAATCGCTCTCGTTAAATCCTATTTTAAAGTTTATGGCCTTTTTGTTACGTGACTCTACGTAGGTATGATGAAACAGGACAGGCTTTAACCTTTAGTACTAATTTATTTTTTCTTCACAAACCCTAATCAGTTGACGCATCATGAGGGAATATCGTCAGAAAGATGACAAAACTTTTCACTGAGTTTCCTTTACATATTCCGGGTTTATATGGGTCTACACCTTACCTGCAAAAGTATAAAACTGTTGTTCAAGTGTCAGTCAAGCTCGGTATAATGGTGACTTGCAAAACCGAATGCACAGTGGAAAAGCGTGTAAACATCATCGAACATTGACGCTACGTAAATTGACCACTTCAGAAAATACCATAACATACCATAGTTTTCTTTGTTGGTCGCTCCAAAATTTTGCATATAAAGCATTGTCTTCAGTTTNGTTCGGCGTCCGAATCAAAGCCGTTCCAAAGTCGCTCCAAAGGCGAAATTTCCGGCCGGGCCAGGCGAAAAGAACTGCTAAGCCGTTTCATAATTGAAACAGGCGTTCCTAAGTGATTCAGACGCCGAACTTTTCATGTATTTAATTCATTATATTCGGTTCGGCTTATGGAAAGTTCGGAGTTTGAACCGGGCCTAAGCTTTTTTTTATACACTTCTCATATGGTAGTTTCACTTTTTTATACACCGATTGAGAAACAAAATCGCTCTCGTTAAATCCTATTTTAAAGTTTATGGCCTTTTTGTTACGTGACTCTACGTAGGTATGATGAAACAGGACAGGCTTTAACCTTTAGTACTAATTTATTTTTTCTTCACAAACCCTAATCAGTTGACGCATCATGAGGGAATATCGTCAGAAAGATGACAAAACTTTTCACTGAGTTTCCTTTACATATTCCGGGTTTATATGGGTCTACACCTTACCTGCAAAAGTATAAAACTGTTGTTCAAGTGTCAGTCAAGCTCGGTATAATGGTGACTTGCAAAACCGAATGCACAGTGGAAAAGCGTGTAAACATCATCGAACATTGACGCTACGTAAATTGACCACTTCAGAAAATACCATAACATACCATAGTTTTCTTTGTTGGTCGCTCCAAAATTTTGCATATAAAGCATTGTCTTCAGTTTCTCTTGGGAGTTAAAATGGCCCCAAGAGAAACTGGAAACAATCCGTATGCGAAATTTTGGAGTGAACAACCAAGAGTATTATGGTCTATAGTATTTTCTGGGTGTGGTCAATTGGTTAATGTGACACCATGTTTCTTTTACTTAACTTACCATGCATTTATGTCAATTGGACACTCTTGTGAAATTAACCTCAGACAATTAGTTGCGACCTTATGTTAAGAGAAGCTGAGCTCCACACGTTCTATTTTTTTTATATATTTTCTTGCACGTATTAACATTCCATTTCTTTTTTGTTACAGATAGCTGTAGATTCAAGGAACTAATCTGTGCATTTAAAGCACGCCAGAGACTGAATTTGACATGCCCGGCAAGGGATAGAATTTGGCATGCCCGGCATGCCAGAAAATTTGGCGTGCCCGGAATGCCGGAGATTTTGGCACGCGGGGCATGCTGGGTATTAATTTCTCGTTAGAACCTAGGCTTCTCGCGACGCTGGTGGGAAGGTCACGGAACCTCAAAATATGCTCATAGGGCATGCAAATTTCTGCTGCATGCCAATTTAAATGCAAAAACACTCTGGGGCCACCCCCTCTACTACCAGTGAGCAAATCATTGACGATAGGTATGGGAAAAATCCTTGCATGCTAACCAATATTGTAAACGTAGCAGAAATGTCTTCAGTTGCTGAGTCATGCCCTAGGGGAGGCTTTAAAATACAGAATTTCCTGACATAGATGAGGAAATTTTCCTTAAGAAGCATGTGATCATGCCGGCTAGGGCGTATTTACCCTTTTTTACGGCTAGCTAGGCTCATATTTAGGCTCCATGGCCTGAAGTGACGCAAAATTCATGCCCTAAATGATAAAAGTCCCAAAAAGTCCTCGAAATTTTAGTTTCCAAGCCGTTTTTACTCTTTGGGCTATTTTTTCTAGGGATCTTTGGAGTCAAATCCTGCTCAATTTGATCCTCAGCTAATCTTCTTTTCGGAGCAATATCATGAAATTGATTAAAACAACAACAACAAACAAACAAACAGAGAAGAGTGAGTATTTACACACACTATACTTTATTATCATACACATCATTTTGCCAAAATTTGGAGGACCGTTGTTCATAAAAAGGTCTGCAATACGATGTTCTTAGGTTTCTTTGGTATTTTCTTACTTTAGAGATGAAAAAAGGAAAACGCTAAGAATAAAAATCATTGCCGAGACTGAGAATTATTACTACTATCTGACTACTATTATTGTTTCTTAAGATGATGAAAACCTGTTTGCTATGAATGTCGCCTGTCTTCTCCTTATATTACATGTCACATTCACCGCGGATATTTAGTCAGACGAACCGGCGCAGAGTATACATAAAAGTCTACTAAGGAAGCTAATACGAGATAAACTAGTGGAAAATCAGTTTGTTTTCTAAATTTAATAACAGAATGATTTTTTAACTTCCTATTTGAAAAATTTAAGCTACAATCACAAGTTCTATTCGATTACAACTCAGTTTGGTTCGGCCGTCGGACGCCATGTTGAACTTAAAACTGTTGCCTTAGTAACATGTCACGTGAACTTGAATCTGAACAGCGATTGGTTATTGGTTTGTTTTGGTCCAGGTTATCAAATTTGATAACCATTCCGGACTGTTTAAGTTGTCAGGAAGTTCAGTCGGCGGCAAAATATCAGATATATCNAACGTAGCAGAAATGTCTTCAGTTGCTGAGTCATGCCCTAGGGGAGGCTTTAAAATACAGAATTTCCTGACATAGATGAGGAAATTTTCCTTAAGAAGCATGTGATCATGCCGGCTAGGGCGTATTTACCCTTTTTTACGGCTAGCTAGGCTCATATTTAGGCTCCATGGCCTGAAGTGACGCAAAATTCATGCCCTAAATGATAAAAGTCCCAAAAAGTCCTCGAAATTTTAGTTTCCAAGCCGTTTTTACTCTTTGGGCTATTTTTTCTAGGGATCTTTGGAGTCAAATCCTGCTCAATTTGATCCTCAGCTAATCTTCTTTTCGGAGCAATATCATGAAATTGATTAAAACAACAACAACAAACAAACAAACAGAGAAGAGTGAGTATTTACACACACTATACTTTATTATCATACACATCATTTTGCCAAAATTTGGAGGACCGTTGTTCATAAAAAGGTCTGCAATACGATGTTCTTAGGTTTCTTTGGTATTTTCTTACTTTAGAGATGAAAAAAGGAAAACGCTAAGAATAAAAATCATTGCCGAGACTGAGAATTATTACTACTATCTGACTACTATTATTGTTTCTTAAGATGATGAAAACCTGTTTGCTATGAATGTCGCCTGTCTTCTCCTTATATTACATGTCACATTCACCGCGGATATTTAGTCAGACGAACCGGCGCAGAGTATACATAAAAGTCTACTAAGGAAGCTAATACGAGATAAACTAGTGGAAAATCAGTTTGTTTTCTAAATTTAATAACAGAATGATTTTTTAACTTCCTATTTGAAAAATTTAAGCTACAATCACAAGTTCTATTCGATTACAACTCAGTTTGGTTCGGCCGTCGGACGCCATGTTGAACTTAAAACTGTTGCCTTAGTAACATGTCACGTGAACTTGAATCTGAACAGCGATTGGTTATTGGTTTGTTTTGGTCCAGGTTATCAAATTTGATAACCATTCCGGACTGTTTAAGTTGTCAGGAAGTTCAGTCGGCGGCAAAATATCAGATATATCACTAGTAACTACCGTTACTAATTGCGTCTTGGCCATAGTGTTTTGTTCTCTTTTTCGAATAATATCACTGTTTTATTGTTATTTAACAGACTTACAGCTACTGCACCCTAAATTTCCTACAGTTATTGAGAAGACGATTAAGTATCTCCGGTAATAACCGATAAAAATGTTAGAAATCATATTCATATTTCAGTGTACACATGCAGTCCAGTGATATAATATCTGTTTACTTTAATTTCGTCAACAAATGGTTGACATTGTAATTCAAAAGAAACAATGAAAGTTGGCAACGGAGGTTTTAGGCAACTCACTCGGGTAACCCATTTTGACTTTCGGGGCAAATTTTTCACGCAAAATACAATTTTCACACTTGTCTTGCCCTTACCCTAAAGCAACTCAGGAATAAATGTAACAAAGCACACAAATGGATAAGATCGAACGGTTAACGTACCATGGAAATATTAAGGTAACGAGTTTACGCTTTTATCCATAACACCTCGGCTAAAACTAATATTGATAGCAAAAAATTTCAGGAAAATATTTTGGCAGAAAAAAACTGGTTTCTATTGGATAAATTCTGCAATAACAAAGAATAAATTTCAGCAAACCCTTTGTGCCAATTCTGTTTAATTCCTACATTCATGACATGTGTATGAGTTAAGGTAACGGAGGTTATTACAAAATTGTGGACAATATTGGTGAGTTCATGGGCTTATTTGAAAGCTTAGCTATTTCCCATATACAAAGGTTTGCTCTATCCCGAGGGGTATCCCAAAGCTAATGTTGTTAAAACGCTAAAATATTTTGTATATTTATGCAGCGGACATGCCAAATTGCCACTTATTAGGGCTTTCTCTTATATTCTAATATAGCAGAAATAGTAAGCATCTATCATTGTCTAAATGGCCGCCGTTTTCACACTAGAGACGGATGATCCATCTTCAAAATCCGTCAAAATTGACGGATGAACAGACCGGGATAAAGTCAAGCGGATTGTTCATCAAAACTTAAATCCGTTCCATTCGAATTACCTGTCTGGTGCGAATTATCCAACGGATAACCCGTCTCAGACGGAATCCGCCTCTAGTGTGAAAACGGCCAATGCTGTGTTATGACAATAGAACCGTCCTATGCGTTTATTAATAACTTATAGAACAACACCCGCATGGTGAAATAGACAAATAGACCGTAAAACATCTATTTGCTACATTTTACTGGGAATGAGTGTAATTCCAACATTTACTTTAACTAATTTTACAACTCACAGCATTCACGTGCAGTTTCTCCGGTCCAGTTAACAGAGTTGAACTGACGACACGCAAAAACATGTGTAAAACCTGTATTATGATCAGCATTTCATATACCGTTACAGATCTTCCAGGCAAACCGGAACCGTCACACTGTGGTTTTGAACATTTTGAACCCTGCCATACACGCACGCTACATTCGGATACTTCCTTACACTTGGTATAGTCATATTTCTATGAGGATAGAACTCTTGGGATGTCCGTCTGGTAGGTGCTGTTTATTTACTTTCACTTCAATCAACATACAGCCTTTCACTTTCTCACAGAACTTCAATTTATTAAGGCGAAGCATTTAACCGATCGTAGAATTATAAACGTGTACAGCGCAGTTTTGGCGAGATTTTGGTATGATCTATAAGAAACAGCGTAATGATTTTTAGCCTGTTAGCCCCTCACTTACCTAGGCCTTTAATCGTAATTAAGGCTTAGGCCATTGATGAATGACACTTGACCTGTCAAAATCAAATCAACGAACTCACAGTTTTTTGATTAGCAAAGAAATTTGCAGGTGATGAACTCGACTTTATCGGCCAATCATGCAGAGATGATTTTTTTTCGGATTCTTCCAGAGGTTAGTGATCCTTTTAGCTTGGGGCTGACCAAAAGGATCGCAGCCTCTGGGAACGAGATTGAAAACATGGATGTCCAATATCAAGTTAAAAACAGGTTATATATGCCTTGGACTTCAAAGCTAGTAAGTGTGACGTTTTACACCCGCTTACATGAAAAGGTAGACAGGTTATTTTGTCACAGCCAAAATTTTTCAGATATATAGATAACCAAATTTTATTACCCACGGTGCTCCGCTGCCTGCGCTTCCGCTGAAATCAATGTATTTGGTCGGCAAAATTGTCTCACTGAGCACTTTTACCAGTTTACAGCAAAGCTCGGGCACTGGGGCGCCGAGTAGAAATTGTAAATTACTCACCCGATTTGGCGTCATCTTCAGGAAAATAAAACAAACTGTTTTTTTTACAGAAATATTCTTACCGTTAACATACCAGTGCTTTAACACATTCTAAAAGCTTTTGAAACTGGCAAATACACGCAGATTTACCATTTCATATATTCAAAATGGCTCCTGTTCAAGTAATCATTACACGAAGTATCTACTCTCCGTCATGATACTGCTGGTCAAAAACAAACCGAGCCTTTGATGTGTTAGCCTGTGTACAGACGTCCCCACTCCCTCAGAAAAAATCGGAAGAAGAGACATCGTCTCTTCTCCCGCCATTTTTTTCTGAGCCAGGCCGGGGACGTCTGTACACAGGCTACTGATGTATCTTTATTTCCCTTGCGCGGGTTGCGATTTGAAAATCTGTTGATCTTTTATTTTAGTATATACTAAAACAGTGGATAGTGTTTTTCGCGCGCTCTGATTGGCTACTCAATCAGTGAATATCCTGCACTATTCACTGATTTACCTCCAGTTCCTCCTAGCCAACGACGCCAAACTCCCGTAAGTTGCAAGCAAAATGCCTTCCCGGTTTGCTGCCGTAACAAACTAAGAAATTTCACAACTAATCAAGCAAGCTGTTCCCGAAACACACAAGGAAGGTGACAAAGTTCGGTTGGGAAGTTTTAACAGGTGAAACAGTTTTTTGCTTACAAATGCAATTCAAGCTTAAGTCTTGTGTTACTGTATTTAGTTGACTTGTTCATAAATAAGCTTAAAACTAAATTTAATAATCTTTTTTTGCAGAATGATTTTAAATACAAAAAGAATTCACAACTCCTTTTGAAAAAATTTCCCCGAAAGAGCTAAACGAATGCCTTCAAAAGTTTTATTTGTCGGCAAGAAAAAGCGACGGCCGCTGCCGTTCGGTCATTATATCGTAATCGTTGGCAAAATTGTAATCGTTGGCAATAGTATTTGAGTTAAAAATCAGTGTCGGTGGCTAAGTGGAGTTAAAAATCAGTGTCGGTCGCAGCTCGGTAAATGGGCATAAGTGAATAATTGTTATATAACCCGGAGTATCTAAAACTCCGCCCAGCTGAAATAACAAACCTGAATATTTAACCAGAACGACAAATATATTAAAGTTATGACACGACACGGCTGTGAAATATTTTCAGTGTTCAGATACTGTGATGACGTCAACGTTTTCAAAATGTTTTATTCCGTCCTGGCGACTACGGCAAACTAGCGTTTTCAAAACTTTCCTCTCTGGAAAGCGTTTTCTAAAAGTTGCGGATTCAGTGAGCGTTTTTTATCCGTTATATGTAGACGAAAAGCCAATCCGCAACAAAATGATCGCGGATTAAAAAAATCTGGATGTGGAGGAAATGAACATACAGTATGTTGCCTTCCTTAATGATCACACACATATTTTAGCGCTAACGTTTGGCCCGCACACGCGTACATTACCCCGTGAGTAATACAGTCGACTCTCTCTTAACGGACACCTCCATAAGACGGACACCTAGAGTTGGTCCCCGCCTTTCTTTACTCCCTTTATTTGACTCTCTATAAGACGGACATCTCTCTAAGACGGACACTTACTGCCGGTCCCAAAGGTGTCCGTCTTAGAGGTAGTTGACTGTACACTCTAAATTCATAAGTTCCTTTTCAACCTTTAAAGTACCAGTGTGCGAGGGCCCACATATTCTTTTGTTTTTTGTTAATAGTTCCAAGAACTGCATTTCCAGTTTTCTGTGACATGGACGCCGGAGGTAAGTGACATAAATAAACTATTGCTTTAGACTTGTTACTGTCAGCGGCTGTTTTTATTTTTCTTCTCAGATGTCTTATAATTGTAGTTGTAGTCAAGATAGCAGATTATCGGACGAGGTTGAGTGAAGTGTGAGGAATGAAGGATTATAAAGAATCAGCCGATGCCAATGCACCCTCCGAGATCGGAATAAAAATTGATGTCAAACGAAAGCCGAATTTAGTAATTATTTTGTTGTTAATTTCAAATATTTCCTAATGCAAAAATTCTTTCTCAGTTCTCCGGACAGCCTTTAGTGGGCAAATTTCAGTGCTTTTTTGTGTTATTTTCCTCTGTATCTTTGCTTTCAGTATTTCAGTTATTTTGTCTTCCCCTTTCTGAATTCTATCGGAAACTTAGTAGGCTGCAAAACTAAAACTGCCTTAGTTTTGAACTGGCTCGACGCAAAGTTTGGAGCGTCCAACGGTGCTTCGCGCCTTGCTGGCAGCGCTCTGATTTGAGAAAAACTAAGTCGCTTGTTTTGCATTCCAGCCATTATGGCTCTATTTCCACTGCCAAAGTTGCAACCTCGTTTCCGAGGTGTCTCCGTTGTCTCTTTTGAAAAAGGTGCGAGGGCTTGGAAACAACGCATGGATTAGCCACATTGTACTAAACTTATAACGTCATAGTTCTTATGCGACCCACTGCTATTAACGCTTTCTATCTAGGCTGGACGATGGTATTTAAGGCTGTGGGCGGAGTGGACAAAAATGTCTATGAGGTCTATAAATCTGATCAAACCTCTTCCGAGGATAAGGTGGAAGCTCTTGACGTCACTAACAAGTACCGCGATCACTACAAGAACAGGATAGTTTTAGCATGGCAAGCATTTGACGCATCTGAGGTACTTTCTAACAAATATTATCATCCTTCATCAAACAGAGACTGCCTCAGTGCTAAGGCAATTTTAAGTAACCTCTTGAAAAAAGGCCCTCCTAACTCCCATTTCTTAGATAAATGCCCTATTTATACCTGGAGTTTCAATGGGATAGTTATTGTCCGTTTTGTAACCGTGCGTGAGTAAGATGTTACGGGAGTCAAGACCAGCCGTGTAACTGCTTAATTAAAAATGGAAAACTACTGCAGAAAATGTCTTGACCTTGGGTGCTTAACTGAAATTAAAATATATGTTTCATTACTAGGCTCGAGTTAGTCTTTATAAAGGAGGAAATTCGACAGTGGAACTGAAATTCAGCGCCAAGAGCATGGACAAACAAAACTGGTTTAGCGTCTCCAAACTGACTCACAGCAGCCAGTGGTCTGATATCAAAACAGAGTCAAAGAACTACTTTTCAATAAGTGGAGACACAACAAAGAAGCGGCACTTTTTCATCAACCGGGGATATGCAGGAAATTGCGCTGGTGATACCGGATGGATGGTAATTGCCGGAAAAGGATGTGACTGGGAAAGGGGTCACCAAAACAAAAACCCCATACTGTACAGCAAGCTGTCTAATTACACTAAATGGGAGGAGAAAAGTGAGTTAACCAACACATAGTGTCTGTATGGCATTAATTCAGCTTCCACCACTATTCACCTCTCCTTCAGGGGATAGTTGTATATTATTTCTCCTCTAACTCTTCTTTATTTTCTTCGTTTTCTTTCAGATGACGTAGGGGAGGCAGACGTGTTGGCAGTGTTCTTGCGTTAAGAAGGAAACCAGGAGCCTTGATTTGTTATTAGACGAAACGAGACGATGGCCTGAACTTATTATTCCCTCTTCTGACACTTTATAGCATGTACTTAGACTGGTGTAGTGGGCAGGTACAGTTTTTACATAGCTCTGATAGTGTAGTCAGCTGTAGCTAATGTAAAATAAAGCATCTGAAGAGCAAAAAGTGTCTCACTCTGTGTATTTTTAAACCATAAAGATTAAAGTCACTATAGAATGGGGTCGGAGGAGCATCCAGAAAACGCCTCACATTTTCCCGATATTGCACCCAGGCGCGGAGGCTACGCATAGGGAAGCCCCGACGCCCATGTATCTGCGAGGGAACGAATCGTACATCTCTGATAAAACATTCATGTTAACTGATGAAAGTGCTATTTTGCCTAGTTTTCCTGTAAACATTGGAAACTTCTTCGGATCATCGCTTGTGATATGTTTAGCGATTTTAGTGGGACCATGAACAATCGTCCATTGTTACGTTAGCAATTAATAACAGATTATGCAATGGCTGCTCGCAGCCTGCAGTATAATATGGATAATAATATAAAATTACTCAATTCTGATTGGGTGAGAAAGAAGTGCACTTCTCCGGTAACATGAATCAAGGGCTTGTGCACTTTTGTTGGTCTTTGAAAAATGTACTCGTGCTTTTTATTCCAAATTGCACTTGAAATCATGTGATTACCTATGCTAATACGAGGAAACGACAGATAGTCGTACCAAAGTGTAACCATCTTTTATTCGCTCCCAACAACGGACTTACAGCAAATAGAAAACGAAGCAACACTATCAATTGGCCAGTGGTCAACTGTCAGCGGTCCCTTTGTTCGGAGCTATTTTAATGAGCGGATCTTCAAGCTGAACAACAAACAAACAACAACAAATTAAATGAGTCCAATTTGAAGGGGGAGGAAGGGAAACCGTTTATATGTTGTCTCCTTTTTTTTCGTATGATCCATATTATACTTTAGGCTGCAAGCAGCCCTTGCATAGTCCGTGATTTTATTACAATGGTACAGCCAGTCTTTAGGCAAATCTGTGCCCTCTGGTTAGTTCTTCGATTCCTCGGTCGGGATTTTGCAGTACGGACCGTTTCCATGGAAAAAGTCCAAGCCGTGTATTTTTCTTTGGACCAGAGCCGGCAAATTCAAAAATTTGGACCAAGCAGCGAAGAAAAGTGAATATTGTCATTTTTCTCAGCGAAACTACCAGAAAAAGCTAAAAAGACTGAAATTTTACCGAGATTTCCGCAAACGCGCCCATTGAAAAACGTCGCCCGTGAAAAGTGGGGTACCCATTAGGCTTTGCTAGCAAAAACGAAGTTTCAAAGACTACCGTCGATTTCGGTCGCTTAAGAACTTCAAAGCGGGGAACTATTCTCACACTTTCAAGAGACAAAGCAGAGACAAGAGATGTATGTGTCCATGGTGTAAGGAGCGGGAATATCATAGTCATTGCGACAGAGAAGAAAATTTTTATGCAAAGAGAAGTATTGTTCTCCGTAGAATACTAACTTAAAACCTTAGCCAACT